TGGCCATGGGGTGGCTGCTCTATCAATTGAGGTGGAAGTGATAGCAGTGAAGGAAGAAGAGGAGGAAATAAAAGAAAGAAAAGGTGAAGGAGAAGGAAAGAAGAAGGTGGTGGTGGTGATGGTCATGGTGATTGTTCTTAGCAAAGTCTGAAGACCTACTCGATGTTCTAACCCCGTGTTACTCCAGTGTGACTCACATACCAGCAGCATCAACATTGCCAGGGAGCTTGCTGGAAATGCAGCATCTCGGGCCTTAACCCCACTTACTGAATCAAATCTGCCTTTTAAACAAGACCCCAGATTGTTCCTCTGCACCTTAAAGTTAAAGAAGTATGGCTCTAACCCACTGGTCCTCAAATGTGGCTGTACACTGGAATTTCCTGGGGAGTTTTTAAGACCTACAGCTGCTTCGGCCCAGCTGCAGAGATCTGATGTAATGGTGTTGGATGTGCCCTGGTTGGTGGGCTTTTTCAAAGCTCCCCGGGTGATTCTAAAGTGTTGCAAAATCTGAGAACAACTGTTCTGACCTTCTGTATCAGTTAGGATTGCATTTGGTTATGTGTAAGAGTGTCCCTGTTTAAAAAAAAAAATCCTGGATTCAGGAAGTCCAGAGCTGAGGTAATGGCTCCAGGAAGTAACCAAGGGCCCTGGCTCCTTCAAGCCTCCTAATTTCCCATCTTTAATGGGCCTGCTGTCCTCAGAATCACAAGATGTTTTCTGTGCTTATAGGCATCTCATCTTCATTCCAGGCAGGAAGAAAAAGGGATGGGAGAGGGGATAAAGACAAAATGGACATTCAAAGGCACAGATGAAGTCTACTCTTTAACAAACTTTCTTGGGAGCGCCACCCAGCAACTTTGGCCATGACTTCACTGGCCAGAACAACATCACACGGTCACGCATAGCTACAAGGAGGACCGGAAAGCTGAGTGTTTTAAGCTGAACATGGTGTCCTCGTGAACAAGAATTGCAATTCTGTCAGGAAGAGGGAAGGAGTGACTGGTTCTCAGTCAAGTCCAGCAGGCCAGCCACACTACACAGAACATACCTCCCGGGCTCCATTTTCTGCTTTGAGGGACCCTCCTGGCCTCCAACTGACTGATCCCCCTCTCTCAGTACCTCTGGGGAGACTTTCTACCTGTCAGAGACCAGCATCCCAGTGTGGCCTTTCTGCCCCCGTCAGCGAGCCTCCCACTAGATGTGAATTATCCTTGGGCAGGGGCCAGAGTGCCATGGGCAGATCTTCCCACACTTGTCCAGGATCTGACACAGGGATGCTGGCACCTGGGAGAAGTGAGGGAGGCAACCACGGTTCTTGTGGGAAGAGTGGTCAAAGCCTGCCCTACCTCACTTAATCAAATGGGCTAGTTTTTGTGAAAGTACTTTATCAATTGCAAGGAGTAACATGACGGAGAGGTTAGATGATGATGGTCAGAGGGTTTTGGGGGGACCCGAAGGCTGAGCCCTCATTCCACTAGCTCTCTAATCTCCCTCGCTGGTGGGAAACAGCAAGAGGATGACCCCCTCTCTCCACAGAGTGGCCCAAGGATGCAGGTCATGTGGCTATTGAGGCCACATGGGCTGGCCAGTAGCCCAGAGCTCCCAGCCCCCAGCTCTTTTCCCAAGCTACTCTGCCCTTGCACCCCCAAAGGAGGGGAACTGTCCAGGACTACATTTTACTCCAGCAATTTATTCTGTTTTCAGATGGCTTGGGACCAAATCCATGTCTCTTTGCTGCAGTTTCTGCATGTGGGAGCAGGGCCAGCAGGACGCCTGGGGACACTGCGGGGTCTCCGGGAGAGGCTGCAGAGCTTCTCGCCAACAGAGCAATGTCACTGTGGGGACCCACTCCCTCCAGCCCCAGTGTTGCCCGTCTGCCCCCTCCACCTGCACTGAGCTGTTACCTGTGGCGTGGCACAGCAGAGCTGGGCACGGAGAGCCCGGATGAACATTTTGGGCTTTAGCCTCCAGTCCCTGTGGCCAATGAACATTCAGCCAGGGGAGGGCCACCTGCTTCAGGAGTGAGGTGCTTAGTTGTACCTGCCGCATCCATATGTATCCTGCCCCGGGGAGCAGAGGCAAAAGTCTTGGCTCTACCGCTGAAGGATCCTGTGACATCAGCAAACTCCCTCCTCCACTCTGCACCCAATATAGCTCTAGCTCTCATTCTTCAGTGTGGAATATTACACAGTTTCTGAGGTTTGCATTTTTTTGTATTTAACAATTCATCAAGCGATATAGAATTGCGCTTCTAACTAATCAGCATCCTCTACATTCCAAACCCCACGCACATGGTGACTTGCATGTGTTTTCTTATTTAATCCTCACAGCAACCCTCTGGAGGTATTGTTGTTACCCATTTTACAGATGAGGAAACCGAGGCTCAGCTCATGTATGAAGATTAAATTTGGTGGCAAATTACAGGGGACCCCAAGTGGCTTACCCAAAATAGCGTCCAAGATCACTGGAAGCTACATGTTTTTTCTCTAACGTATAGAATTCCAGAAGCAGTTGTCCATGGCAGTTCTGCAACACTAGGGACCCAGGCTTCTATTAGGTCACTTCATCCTCCACTCCCAGGGTCCCCTCATTGTCTCAAAGGGCGGCACCTTTCTTCTAAAGATGCCTGCCCCTCTTCTGCTTGCATCTCATCAAGTGGAACTTAGTCACATCTAGCAGCAAGGGAGGCTGGGAAAGGCAGCACTCATTTTAGGTGATCAGATGTCAGGTAAAACTTGGGCATTTTATTATAATAAGAGTTACGAGTGATCAAGAGCATAGACTGACCGTAGAGTTAGACTGCCTGGGTCTGCTCTTGTCTCCATCACTTCCCAGTGTGTGGCCTCAGGTGGTTTATTCCTTCACTCACTCAACAAATACTCGTTGAGCACCTACTGTGCCCTACACTGTTCTAAAGCTGGGGATACAGGACTGACCAAATGACAAAACTCCCTGCCCTCATGGAACTTACACTCTAGTGGAGAGAAATAAACTAGCTAATAAGTGAAACATATAGTGTGTTAGGTGGTATTCGGTGTTGAGAGAAAAATAAAGCTGGGAAAGGGATGGAAGTGTAATTTCAGACAGGTTCTGAGCAGTGCCCTGGGGAGAAGCTGGCATTTGAATAAAGACCCAAAGGATCTCTGGGGCGAGTGTGTTCCAGGGAGGGAGAAACACAATGCAAAGGCCCTGAGGCAGGAGCGTGCCTGGCCTGATGAAGAATGTCAAAGAGGCAGACTGAAAGCAGGGCAGACAGGGGGACCCCTGTTGGGACCTGGGCTGTCCTTTGGCTCAGATGGGAGGCTGACCACTCTGGCTGCTGAGTGGAGAAGACACCGAAGGGGGCAGATAGAGCAGGGAAACTGGTTAGGAGGCTGCTACTGGGATCCTAGAGAGACATGATGGTGGCTGGACCAGGGTGGAGCCAGCGCAGTGAGGAGAAGTCATCAGGCTGGGTTTACTGCCTCTTGAAGGTAGAGTTGGGAGGATTTGTTGGTTATGGAGAATGAGGGAAGGACACAGTCAAGGATGACTCCAAGCTGATTGGTCAGCCAGCTGGAAGGGTGAAGCCACCCATTTGCCAAGAAGAGCCCTGAGTGCAGCAGACTTGGGGGCAGGGCGGCGTGGGTCATGTGGGAAGTTTGGGTTTGGACAGGTTGAGTTTGAGACTTATTAGACCTCCAAGTGGAGAGGACAGGAAGGTGGATATATGTGCCTGGGATTCAGGGAGAAGCCCAGGCTGCAGACACAACTTTGAGATTAATCAGCATATAGATGATATTTAAAGGCAGGAGAAAATGAAATTAAGGAGATAAACATGGTTATTAATCTCTGTGTGTCTCAGTTGCCGCATCTGTGTTATGAGAATTGAACACAGTGAAATATAAAGCCCTTAGACCATAGCCTGGCACATCTGTGTTTGTCACAGCAGAAATTATTGTACCTTTCTAAATTTACTGCATTTGCTATATAGCTGATGAGTGGTTCAGGGACTGTGTTGGGTGTCCTAGGAGAGGGCTGCCAAGAATGTCGGTGTAACAGTCTCATCCTGGCCTTCAAGGTCCTTCCAGCTCAGCACATCTCCCAGACTTAACCTCTGACCTTCTCCGAAGCCCCCACTTCCCTCTAACCTGATTCATCACCCAGCACTGTTCCTTCCCTACCACTGTCCCCAGTGACCCTGGCAACTCCTCCAACCCGCATCTTGGCAGTTCCAAGCTGCTTAGTCCTCCTGTGATGCCTCTTCTTCCAAGAAGTCTTCCTCATTCACACCCCCAACTCCAGCCAGACAACCTGCCCATTTGGAAGCCCTCGGGGTCCTTGGATGCCCATTCCTCCCTTCCTGGAGCCAAGCTGTTCGGGTGCCTGACTGTCTCCCCAGCCTGGCACATCTCTGTGCTGATGCAGGTGGCAGGAGCAGGGACTTGTGCCCAGGTGCTCTGGCTCCAAATCCAGACTGCTTCCCGCCCCTCCTCGCTGCCCAGCTCGGAGCCACCAAAAACGTACTGGCCTGGGAGTTCCGAGGTTGGGATTTCCACAGCATGGTGGTTGATGTGGCACTTGGGGTCCAGACTAGCCAGGTCTGAACCCCTGTCCTTCCACTTCCTGGCCGTGTGGGCAAACCACATCACACCTCTGTGCCTCAGTTTCCCTTTCATAAAGTGAGACTAACAGAAGGCTGTGAAGATTCAGTGCCTTCGCACAGGTGAGGCTCTCAGGCCAAGTGAGCAGGCAGCACACACCCAATCAATGCTCAGTGTTACTGTTCTTACTGTGAAGCACCGCCTGCCTGCAGCCTGCAGCCTGCCCTGCCTCTGCAGCGCCCCACCCCCTCGGCCTGCCCAGGCCCCCCTGAGTCCCAGGTTCTAGGCCGACTGGGGACAGTTGGGCTCAGCAGGGCCTCCCAGGGGCTAATTGGAGTCTGTGGGTGCCATGGCCCCCCAGGACTCTCGGAATCCTCCTCTCAGGCCCTGCCTCCTCTTTGCAGATTTTAATGAGAACGGCTTCATTGATGAGGAGGACCTGCAGAGGATCGTCCTCCGACTGCTCAACAGTGACGACGTGTCAGAGGACCTGCTGACCGACCTCATCAGCCACGTGTGTGTCCAGGGCTACCGGGCGGAGGTTGGGGTGGGCCTCGCCATCCCCCGAAGCCCCCGGATGGCAGGCAGGGTGATGTGTCCTGAGGCATGGGCGCACACTGGAGGCAACTACCTCCAACTTTCTGTCTTTCCTCCAGGATCATGACTCCCTTCCAGGGTCCCCAAAGCCATAGCCCAAGCCCCCCATTCCAAGAGGCCTTCCCACCAACACTGCAGGCAGTGCAGGCAGGTGGGCCAACAGCAGCTCAGCCTCAGAGGGGCACATCCCAACGTCCCCTTCCCCACATTATCCCAGCACAACACGACGCCCAGACGTCCTGAGGGACCGTCCAAAGTGTGACAGGACATGAAGACAGCCATGGATCCATTTGTCTTAAGACCATGAGAACCTTTTGGTTTGGGTGGGAACTGGGAGCAAAGATAAAACCGTGAAGGGTCATCGCTGCCCCTGCCCCTGCCTGTGCCCCTTGCAGTAGAGCCCCTGGTGGCAGAGTGACAGGAGTGGGTGGGGGTGTCACCTTGTTCATCACCCCGCACTCTTCTCACTATCAGGTTTGTGCTGGAGGCACCAAGAGACTCTTTCCACCATGAGGTTGGCCCACAAGGCCCCAGACCTCGGTGCCTATAACCTCGTCTCTCTGTGCCTCCATGTCCCTGTCTGGGGCGGAGCACCTGCCTCACAAGGGACTCAGGGAGGTGTGCTAAGCAGCTGGCAGAGAGCTGGGCTTAGAGGTTGGGCTCAGCATGTGGTGCCTGCCCTGACTCCAGTGCCCGCACCTCCCTCTGATTCTCTGCTCTCCACTCCTTCTGCACCCCTGTCCAGGTCCTGAGTGAGTCGGATCTGGACAATGACAACATGTTGTCTTTCTCAGAGTTTGAACACGCAATGGCCAAATCTCCAGACTTCATGAAGTAAGGTGTTCTGGAGTGAAGGGGATGCCCAGCACAGTGGGGGACAGGAAGGGCCCCTGGTCTCTCTTGGCCGGTGGGGCACCTCGGTTTTCCAAAGGAGGGTCATGAGTTTCCAGGACACTTTGCAGATTCTTCCAGAATCAGCAAAACTGGAGCTTCTGAGAAATTAACCTGGAAAGAGACAGGGAGTGGGGTTTCAAAAGGCACGGGGGAAATTGGATTCCAGGCTTTGCAAACGATGTGGGCAGTCCAAACTTCGGGTGCTGTCCCTCTCTGGCGGCACAAAGCCCCCTGGGCTCCAGGACTGACCTGGGGAGTTGCCTTTGCCACTGTTCGTCCAGCTCCCCTTCCGCCCACAACCTCCACATGTCATGAGGAGCTGGGGATTTGCATGAGAGTGTGAAGATGCTGGTGATGGAACTTAGAGAATTCTAAGCATTTCCAATCCTTGTTTCAGCTGGAAAGGGGCCTGCATGGTCCTATCTGGCCCTAACACCTTTGAGGCGATTGGCCATTCCTGTGTTTCTCAGGCTGTGTTTGACAGTCTTATTTGGCTCCTTCCAGTTGTGGGAAATGAACCACCACTGGAGACAGCCTTTTCGTGAGGAACAGCCCAGTTAGAGGCCCCTCTTGTGCTGAGCTGCCCTTGTTTGCATGTGCCTGCTTCACCTGGGCCCTATTCTGCGCTTAGTCTTCAGTCTAGGTGACATTGTAACAAGGAAGAATGCTCCCTCAAGATGGTTTAACAAACCAATCAACAACGAACGAAAATAGCCCGAGCTCGGAGAGCACCTGGTCCAGAGCCCAGAGTCTCTCCCTCTGTCCTCAGCAACTCCGGACGTCGCTGTATGTGAAACTGGCAAACTCTGCTTTGTTAGACTTGAGGCCAAGTGGCCTCCCCACAGCGGTCAAGTTTAAACCTCTTTGGCTCCGAATGACCCTCAGGGAATGTCCCTCAGCTCTCACTCCAAATTCCCAGAGAGAGAATCTGAGTGGCCAGCTCCAGGCAGGTGTCCAGCCCACCTGGCTGGAGGAGAGGGCCCTCCATTCCGAGATGGCTGTGGCCTGGGCAGACTTTCTATAAAGGGGTCCACATTTGGACCACCCCAACCGAGTTCATTCCTCTTCCTCCGTAACAGCCCAACACACAACTGAAGCCGAAATCCAGTCTGTCTTGAGTTTCTTCTTTCAACCTCTCCCTTTGCTTTCCGCTGATTCCAGCACCACAAGGTTCTGACAGCCTTTGCATTCAAGAGCTGCTCAAAGGAGCTTCAAGAAGGCTTTGGGTTGGCTTGGGAGAGCTTCAAACAGGCCATTACTCAAGAAAGGGACGAGAGAGGTGTGCACCCAGAAATGAGAGGCTGTGTTACGACTGTGGGCTCCAGGTGGCTCATGGAATTCTTTCTTTCAGCTCCTTTCGGATTCACTTCTGGGGATACTGATGTGGCCACAAATGCCTGATCTGACAGCCTCGAGGTGGACCCCTGGAACTTGGAATCTGAACCCCTGCGGGCACCAGGGGAACTCTAATTAGAAGAATGACTTTGTCCCCATCCCTTTCTCACTTCTAGAATACTGTTCTTTCAATAAAGCAAAAGAAGAGACTTTCCCTTGCTCCATCAGTTCATCATTTTTTGAATGCAGGACCACACAGAAGTACTTTTTATTAAGAACTGCTCATTCCAGGGTTTAAGTTTGCCAATGACACCAAGACTAGGATGGCGAGTCATTTCAAGGACAGGTTCAAATGCCAACCCATGTCCCAGCAGGGACCAGGCCGAATGGGGTGCAGTTGACCAGGAAAAGATAAGTCCTTCCCTCCCTTCCCTGGGGCCTCCCCCGAGCCTCTCTTCTCACATCTCCCATGCATGGAGCGGTCTTTCCAATCGGTACCTGGTTTCCCAAGACATTTTTGCCCCACTCGGCACCCCCGTGCCCTCAGGATGCAACAGTCTATGGCCAGCGATCAGGGCTTATTTACTTTGCTATTCCGCCAAACCCTGGAAGGAATTTGGCCATCCCGGGGACTCTTTGGGACCTAGGTGGTCAGGGACCCTGGGACACAGGAGAAGCCCCTTAGGGGGTCTCTGAAAGCTGTCAGATGCCTACCTGACAGCCCGTGGTTTTTCTTGTTTTCACTGTCCTCAGAGGAGGACACAGGAGAAGGGCTGTTTCACCCTCACATGTACTTGAACCTGTTGTGGGTTCAACTTCAACCTGTTGTGGGTTGCCTTGCCTTTAGGTCCTGACTCACTTATTTAGGGGAAATAAGAGCCCTGTTGCCTGATGGAGTCCCTTAATCAAATCCAGCAGGTGATGGAAGTTGGAGAGCTCCTGTGGCATGGGCCCATACCTGGCCTGAGGTTCCCATCCCAGATCCTGTCTTCTGAGGGGCTGTTCCCCACATCCTGTGCCCTGTCCCACAGGCAGAAGGCCTCCCAGGAGGCAGGAAGCAGGTGACAGCAGACACTCCAGACCCAGAACCTTCCAGGCCACCTCAGGATGTGACCTAGGAACCTGTCCCCAGTGTCCACTCTGGCCTACAGTTTCCTGAAACACAGAGATGCCTGAAAGAGCGGCTTGATCCTGGGTCAGCTCCCTCCTGTTCCCTTCTAGAAACAGTCCCAGGGGTCGATGCCAAATCAGCCTGTCCCTGCCAGGCTGGGCAGAATATAGAACGTGGTTTCTTCTGTCAGGCACCACAGGGTCCTCTGGGATCTGCATCATCTCTGCCCCTCAGTCCCCAAGAGGACTACACGCAGGGTGTATAGTGGGAAAACCAGAGCTTGGGAGCCAGAAAGGCCTGGGTTCAAATCCTGGCTGGGCCACGTCTAAGCTGCCTGAACTTGGACGACTGTCTCCCCTCTGAGCCCCGGTGTCTTTATCAGTAAAGTGAAAGTAACACCACCTCCCTCCCAGGTTATTGTGTGAACAAAACGATGCTGAGCCAGGGCTCAGGCCGGAATTCCTTTGCATCTGACACCAGTGCAAGCATTCTGGGGCCGCTGCATCCTCACTCTCAGACATGGGATAACGGGGCCTCCTTGATTATACCAGAGGAAGCAGACGGGAGGTATCTCTGTGCCTGAGTGACCTGCCACCAAGACTTGGGAGCCCCACAGTCCTCAGGGGAGAGGTGGGTGGGCCCAGCAGAGTCCTGGACATGGCTTTTTCTTGGCTTGAACCCCTGGGGCTGATCATTGCACAGGCCCTTCAGACACAGCACCGTGTGACTCTCAGGTGCTGTCCTGCTGTGTCCAAATGTTCCTGGGGCTCAGAGGAGAGGAGCCTGGGGTGATCATGGCTAAAGATTTTATTCCAAAAAGCCAACCTGGTCAGGGCCATGGCTGTCAGGCGTCACGCTCTGAACTCAAAGTAACGGTCCCTCCTCTGCCGCTCCTGTGGGGAGACCCTCTTCCCCGATGGGAATGTCTGGTAGGTCTTCAGGTTCTCGGGGGATGCTCTTAAAAGGTACCACTTCTTCTTCGGGCTCAGAGGAGGCCTGCAGGTGAGGATGGGCCAGTGTTATGCAGTGAGGGTGGAAAAGGCCCATTTCCCAGCCCCTGCTGCTGATGACCCTGCGGGCTACCCATTGGCTTAACAGCTGGTAAGTCACCCTGCGCTCAAGATGAGAATCACTTGTGTTTGCACAATGGGACAGTGGTTAAGAGCAAGGACATGGGTGTCAGGAAGCTGGGCTGGATTCTGGCCCAGTTCCTGCTAGAAGTGTACACATGTAATATGGACTAATGTTGGTACCTCTCTCCTCGCATTGTTTTGAGGAGTAAGTGAAGTAATACATACAAAGCACTGAATAAGGTGCAAACACTCAGTAAACATTATAAGAAATATGCTGCTGATGGTGATGGTGGTGATGCTGATGCTGATGCTGATGGTGGTGGCGGTGATGATGCTGATGGTGATGACAGTGTTAATGATGGTGGTGGTAAAGATGGTGATGATGGTGGTGGGTATGATGATGGTGGTGATGATGGCAACGATGGCAGTGAAACTCAGGGAAGGGCAAGGACTTTCCTCAGGCCACAGAGGTGATAAGAGGAAAGGCTGATCACAGGCACTGACCCTCTTCCTCTCAACCACCTGGTTGGTCCTCTGTGTTACATGTGAAGCCAGCAGCAGCAGCAGCAGAGGCTGCCAGGCAGTTTGGAGAAGGAACAGAGCTGGGGGCATCCTGCGCTCCCCACATCTGCAAGAGATGTAGATCCTGCCTAGAGCAGTCTCAAGAGGAGATTTGTCCCCAGGTGAGGCCCTGCCCTGTCTCCAGGGATGGACTGGCTCAGAGCCACCCCAAGGGGTGGAAATGACCAACCCAGGGCCCTAGAGTTGGCATTGGGAGATCTGGGTTCCCTCCAGCTTTTACCTCCAATCAGACTTGCCCTGAGCACAAGTTTCCGAAGCCATCGCTAAGCCTCAGTTTCCCTATTTATAAAATGGTCCCATCTGTCCTGCAGAGAGGAACCTATAGAGGCAGCTAAATTTGTTTCTTTAAAAAAACCTGTAAACTCTATGAAAAAGGTTGCTGCTTTATCAGTAACAGTGATGGCAAGGCTCAGGCTCTTGAGGCAAACAAGGGATCGGCATGGAGTTGAGAATCGAAGATCTGTCCACCGACTCCTGATGCCCCCTGCTCCACAGCACACCTCACAGCACAGACTTCTGATTTCCCTGCCTGGGCGGCAGGAGAGAGCGAGGAAACCACATGCCTGGATTATCTCGCAGGGCAGAGCTGGCCTTCCCTGGGAGAGGAAGCTTTCCCAGATAAAAAACAGCAAAGAGTGGGAAAAGTGAGGAACTTTCATATTTATTAGCTAGACAGTTGGAATTTGAAAAATATGTACAAGTCCCTAGGAGAACATTTTTTGAATCTGGACAGGGCTGGAGACAGTCCCTGCTTTGTGTAGTACCCATTTGTGTCCGCCAGAGGGCAGCAGCTCCTTGCAGGGGGAGAAGCTTGCATTTTCAGGCCAGCAGAGATTGCGGGGTTTGCACCCAAACTCCTTAGTGCATCTGACCAGGAATACGGTCTTCCTGATTCTGCTTGTTCTGGTTCCTGGCATCCCTCCTAAGGCTGCCAAAACCGTGACTCCCTTGCTCTGTAACTCACCCTCTGCACTGTAGGCTCTTTGGGACTGAGTCTTAACTCATTTCTGGCTAAGAGCAGGTTCCCTGTGGGTGTGTGTTGTTGAATGCATGGATGAAGGGAGGGCAGGCACTCACAGGTCGGTGGGGATGGGGTACCGCTCCCACTCCCTCACAGGCAGCACGAAGTAGGGGACCCGGGGCACCATGCCCGTCTTGTCTTGATAGTACTCCCGATGCCGCTGGGCCATCTGCAGCTCAACCAGGGAAGAGACGACAGGTTGTTAGTGCGCAGGCGCGATCTCAGGCATCCGCAGCCCCTGCCTGGCTGTACCCGGGCAGGTGGTGGGGCATCGTCTCCCTTAATGTTCCTGGAAGAGTCCCCAGCCAGGTGTCCTCTCTGAGCCTCAGCTCCTTGTCTGGCTACTGGGGATAATGACATACACCAGGCCAGCATTGCTAGGGTGAGTAAATGAGGCAGGGGACCAGCAGAGGTAAGGGATGTGAAGCCCAGCTTAGTAAGTGGCACAGGGAAGCTTGGGGTGTGTGTGTGTGTGTGTGTGTTGTCTCCCTGCCCCTCTCTCCTAGGCAGGCTGTGCTCTGTGAGCCAAGATGGAGGTGCAGGCCTTCCCAGGCCCACAACACTGTCCCACAGCTCCTCAGAGTCTGACGGCATCCACCTGGTCCTCTCCCAGGGGAGGCTGCCTTCTCGTACAGTTCTCCACCCGGGGACCAGGAGGCATCTGTGTCCTTGAAATCAGGCCTGGAGGGATGTTTGCAAGGGAGCTGAGGGGGAAAGTGAGCTGAGGAGCAGCTCAGCCTCCCCTGAGGTGGGGGAGCGCCTGTGTGCCTGTGCTCCGCCGGGACGTGTCTGACCAGATCCAGGGAAGGCTTTATGAGCCGGAGGAGCAGAATAGGAACAACGGGGGTGTGGGCAGCCCCTCCCCACCCCCCATCTGCCTCTCTTTCCCAGAGGGCAGGTGGGGTCCACTCCGGGGCTGGGGCTGACTAGGGCACACCCTAGAGGGCGCTGTAGAGCAGGGCGGTGTCAGGTGGGCACTGGGATCCCGGTGGGCAGGTATGATTGAGAGGAGACTGGGGGCTGGAGCCGGGGTGGGGCTTAGCAGCCGTCAGCGCATGCTGTTCATCCTGTGGGTGAACCTTGGGGCTTTTGCTCAGAGGGAGGTAAGCCAGGGTCCGCAGAGGGAGAGGCTACTGGGTAGAGGTGAGGGCGGGAACATCCCCAAAGGCCCCTCGCTCTCGCTCTCCCGGTAGCAGCGGGAGCAGGGAAAGAGCCACGGGGGTCCCTGGAGTAGGGAGAGAGCAGGGAAGCAGAGTGCTGGGTCCCTCCATACTCCTCCAGCCAGACTCACCGGGTTCCCTGCTGGCTTTGGGACTCTGAAAAAGCAAATAGAGGCGCTCTGGAGGGTGAGAGGTCTCCCCTGGCCTCCAGCCATCACTTCCTCCCCATGCTGTGGGAGCGGGGGTGGGGGGGCACCAAGAGGGG